GCTGGGCCCCTTGCTGTTTCTGCTCCGCCTCTGCGTTGTCCTGTTGCTGCCTATGCCCAGTGTGGAATTGGGTGGACACGGTGACATGCAGCCCGATGGGATGTTAGACATTTTACTGTTACCCCCCCCCCCCCCCCAGGGACTGCCGGTGAGAGGGAGGTTTTGAAAACTACCCTGACTGGGTTTGGTCTCCTGAAGCTAAGATACTTCCAGTTCTTTGACAGCCATCAGCCAGCCGCAGGGTGGGAAGCATCCCATAGCAGATGATCTTAAGGGGTCTTTGGGGAGCTTCCAGGAAGAGAGCAGAGTTGCCATTTCTGGGTTCTTGTTTTCATTCTGACTCAAAAGGGTGTCAACCTTATGCTGTGTGAAATGAAATGTGTTCAGGCCACTTGGGCTCCAGACGCTGATGAGACTTGGCTGGTGGGCACGAGGAAAGGCACGGGGACTCTGCAGTGATCATTCATCTGTAGCAGCTGCCAGTCACCACAGTTAGTGCTGAGCTGTGCCTAAGACACACTTCTAGAAAGCTCCAGGCTCGACTTTTGTGGAAGATCCTGGGGCCAAAGGGCCTGTCTTGACAATGGACTATTGAAGCATCAAATCCATATGGAAGAGGCAGTGGGAAACTTAGCTCAGGATAACAGACACCTCCAGAAGGCCTGAGTAATGGCCCAGCCAAACGCCATGGTCGTGGAGGATTTCCTTGATCTAGAACTTGGGCTTCACTCTGGCAACTGTACCGGTAGAGGCAGGTGCTGGGGACAGTGGGCTCCTCTAGTCTGCTCTGCACTGCTGAGAGGACCAGGCCACATCTCAGAGGAGGTGGTATTTGAAATGAGGCTAAACAGTAAATAAAGCCTAACTAGGTGTGCAAGACTGTTAGAGGGAGTTTTAGGCAGTGGGAATAGGCCATCAGCCTGAAGGAATACAGTAAAGCCCAAGACCTTTCTTTATGTCCATTTAGCGTAATGGAGTAGAGCGAGGACTTCTCAGACCTCAGTGGGCATTAGACTCTCTTGGAGATTTTTTGCTAAAATGCAGATTCTTGTGCTTCTGTCCTTCTGAAAACTTGGACTTGACCTTGGAGACAGAAGGAGCCGCTGAAGGGCAATTAATCAGGCGCATCTGATGGGCTGAGCCTGCCCTGTGAGACTGCGCTGGCCTCCTGCCCACCGGTGAGATGCCACGTGAAGCTTGGTTCATCGCGAAGGGCTGAAGGCTTTGCTGCCAAGCCTGCTTTAAATCAAGAAGCTATTTCCCGGCCCACACAAGTCAAAACCGGTGCATTTCTCTGCCGTGGTTATTTCTATTCACTTGGCTGATTTTTTAAAAAAATTTATTTTGTCATTGTCATTGAGTATACGCACAGCAACAGCACACACCAATGCAAGTGCTTCGACATGCACAGGTCAGAGACATGAATTACGTTCTTCCAAGCAGTGCAGCCATCACACCGAGCTAATCTTTAAGTAAATGATTCCTGTTCATAGCATTTGAACTTCAGTTTGAACCTCACTGAAACAACCTGTCAAAACCAAGACAGAATCTTCTTCTCAAACACGGCAGTCCTGGCGGGGTGAGAGCAGCCTGTGGCTTCATGACCTGATTTGGAAAGTCCGATTCTCCTGTGGCCACTTCCCATCCCAATTGTGCCTCCTTGAGTATCCCAGGTTCCAGCTAGCCGGACACTTCTGTTAGGGGCTCTGGGTCAAGACCACACGTTGCTTCTTGAAACCGAGAGGTGTAAACCAATTTAAAACCCTAGCTAGCCTTTTTTTCTTTTTTTAAATGAATTTTAATGAAAATTTACAGAGACTTTGGACCTCCATTCAATTATTGTTGCACTTTTCTCCCTGCCTACCCCTCCCCCCCAGTACACCTTTCTCTTTGAAAAGTAAAAGAAAAATTCTTCCATTGTTTAATAATCCCTCCCCCCAGGTCCACTCCACCATGCAACCCCGTTCTGGACTCCCGTCATGACAACAATACCCAGTCATATATTCCTTCTAAACAGTTTTCTCCCTCATATGTTTCATTGCAGTATACATTATTGAACCCATCTTTCTCAGACTCCCCTCCAACCCTGATGTCAGTCCTGTTTTACAACAGTGACACTTTGCAGTATTTGTCCCTTTGTGACTGAGATATTTCACTCAGCATAATGTCCTTCAGGTTCACCCATTCTGAATAATATTGCATGAGTTCCTTGTTTTTCAATGCAGCGTAGTATTCCAGGGTGTAAATATATCACAACTTCTCTGTCCATTCGTTTGTTGATGGGCACTCAGGTTGTTTCCAACTCCTTGCCATTGTTAACAAAGCCACGATAAACATGGGTGTGCATATATCAGCTTGGGTGGCAGTTATGGTCTCTTTGGGGTATATTCCCAGTAGTAGAATTGCTGGGTTAAATGGTATTTCTATTTGCAACTTTTTGAGAAAACACCACACCACCTTCCACAGTGGTTGCACCATTTTACAATCCCACCAACAGTGAATAAGAGTTCCAGTTTCTCCACAACCTCTCCAGCATTTGTTGCTTGCTGTTCTGTTAAATTTTGCTATTCTGACTGGGGTGAGATGGTATCTCATAGTTGTTTTCCTACCTGTGAAATTCAGACCAGTGCAGTGGGAACAGGAATGGACATGAAATACGGACCATATCTGCTCGTGGATGTCTGTAAGGGGAGCCGCTCTGACACTCTGTGTGTGAAAATGTGTGTGTATTTTTTTTTCCTTTTTAGACTGCTTTTTATGTTCTTGATTTGCCCATTTTGGTCCTCACTTGTTGGGGAAGAGTATTACAAAGAGGGTTGACTAGTTCATGGTCTGCCAGAAAAGAATGAACCAGTCTGTCTTGGACAAGTGCAGTCAGCGCGCTGCTTAGAGGCCAGGCTGGTGGAACTGCATCCACGTACTTCCGGCATACTGTCAGGAGGGGCTGGTCCTTGGGAAGAGACATCGTTCTGGGCAAGGCCAGCAAAAGAGAGGAAGCCCCTTCACGAGATGAATTAGGACAGGTGACCCCCACAGGGGGCTTGACCATGACAGAAATGACCAGGATGGCACAGGTGGGACCAGCCCAGGCTCGCCCAGGCCCTGGGAGTCACAGTCGACTCGACAGCGCCTGACAGCAGCAACTAAAGTTCCAAGTTAAAAATCAGGCTCGTTGGGACAGCTGAGCCCTGGAGAGGCACTTTTTGTCATTTTGAAAGTAAAACCTCCCTGCGTCTGTGCTGCAGCCTGGCCTGTCCACCTTCCTGTCTGACCCTGCAGTTGGCCTCTCTCCCGACTTCCCCAAGTCCCTTCTTCCTTTGGCACTCTGCCTGTGGCTGTCCCAGCATGTCCCTCTCTGTCCCGAGACCTTGCTGCCACCTTCTTTCGCTGTCGAGACACCTTCCCGAGGCACCCCGGTCTTCTCTTCGTGTGCTCTCTGGCTTCTGCTCTCAACAGATGCACCGAATCTGACTAGTAGGTCTTCCTGGAGGGGGAATACTTGTCTGCATCCCACCCACAATTCCTCTGCTGCCCTCCATTGTCCAAACTGCCATGCTCTGAATTGACCAATGGGAAAAGGAAGCAGATTGGAAATTTTTCAAAACCGTGGATCACATACATCGCTTATTTGCAGTCTATACCAGTATGGGGAGCTCTGGGGGCCTAGTGGCAAGAAGCTGTGCTGCAATCCTGAAGGCACATGGTTCAAGTCCACCAGCTGCTCTGTGGAAGAACAGACAGTCTCTTCCAGTGCAATTAACTGCCTCTGAAAACCCACCAGAGGGGCAGCTATGGGTCAGTTTTGACTCTATGGAACACACGAACAACAATATACCAATATGCACTGACTTTCATTTTTAACAATGATTTTTCCTTATAACTATTTCTTTTTAGAAGGAATATGTAATTTTGTATATTGTGTGTTTATACCCATGGTGGACAGTGTTGGCTGGAGCTTCCTGACTAAAACAAGCCTGGAAGCAGGAGCGGCATCCACTTCCGAAATGGCTTGCCTCCGGAAACTCCTATGTGCGAACAGTGCTCAGGCCTTTTGTTCATAGGGTCGCTATGAGTCATCTACGACTCGACGGCACCTAACAACAACAACAACATGTTTATATATCTGTGTATGTAAATACATATATACATAAATATATACAGCTTTTAGAAATACAAATATTCCTTGTAGAAAATTTAGGAAAATATGTAATAGAGGACAGAAAAGACCTCCTTCATAATCCCACTGCCCAGAAGAAGAAGAAAAGAGATCGTCATTTCTTTGATGTGTACGTGCACCCCTGTGCCAGGCTCACCTGTGCAGATCCGCACCAGCATAGGCCTTACGCCTTACGTTGTTTTTGCAGGCTTGACATCTCCTCTTCTTTTCCCCCCTTACTACCTGTTCCGATTACCTTTGCAAGCTATTATGTCCTCCCAGGGAGGACGGTTGCTAGTCCATGGAATGAACAAAAGTTCTCCTTCCCTTGAAATATAGATTTCAAAACGTCATCTTTTTTTTTTTTTAAATTGTACTCTGGATAAACATTTGTGGAGAATATTGGTGTTCCCATCAACCTTTCACGGTTTTTTTTGTGGCTTTAGGCCCCACATTGAGCGCCCTTTTTCCTACTTGTTCTCTGATTCTTACTTCCACTCTCCATCCTTCTATCTTGTTCCTTCTTGTCTGCTGGGCTTTCCCGGTGGACAAATACCTTTTGATCTTATATGATTGCTTGTTCTGAAGCGTGAGTGCGTGCCCACAGTGTCCGTGAAGGAGCCTTTTCCGAGAGGGAAGAGAAGGAGTGTTTTCCTCGTGGGCATGTATGCCGTCTCTCTTGTGTTTGCAACGTCCACCATTGTTAAGGTGAACATCCTTGTGACTGTTGCCAGCAACTCGGCACATTTCTCGGGACGGACTCTTGCAGCAGAAATGGCAAGCTCAAGAGTTCTTTTTTCAAGCCTTTGACAAGTGGTAAAGCTTGTTTTTCGTCTTTCCCCAGACGCTTCAGCAGCAGGAGTGCAAACTCCTCTACAGCCGGAAAGAGGGGCAGCGGCAAGAAAATAAGAACAAAAATCGATATAAAAACATCCTGCCTTGTAAGTATCGGTACTCTGCGCAGCGGTTTTTCATCCCCCGAGGCCCCATAGCTGCTCTTTGTGGGGCGGCCCTGCGTCCCTCCTGGCAGGTGCACGGCTGAGCGTGTACAGTGTGTACGTGGACACACATGGACTGTGTTGCACTGTTGACAGGCGCGTGGGGTTGTGTGATCAGACTGGAAGCGCATCATATTCTAAAGGATCATTGGATGAGAGTGAGCATGTGTAAGCCCACTTCAGGGGGGAGTCTATGTGGGGGTGTGAGAGGGAGGGAGAGAGAGAGACAGGGTGTGAGAGGGACGGAGAGAGAGAGACAGGGCTTGAAAGAAGGAAAAACAGCAAATCCATTGCCGTCACATTAATTCCATGCCATAGTGACCTTGGACGACAGAGTACAGTTACTTCTGAGACTTTCTGGGGCTGGACTATTTAGGCAAGGAGACCACTAGGGTTTTTTTTCCTCCCATGGATCAGCTACTGAGTCCGAACCACTGGCCTTTTGCTTAGCAGTCAAGTGTTAACCACTGTACCACCAGGGCTCCTCCCCTTCTAAATCTGTATGGGTGTATCCATGGTGTTATATGCACATCACTCCTGTGCGTCTATGTGTAAAGCCTGGAAGGAGACCGGGAGAATGTGGACACGTTAATAATTCTGAGAAGACAAACAGGCCTCTTGGGGAGAAGCCGTCTGAGCCGCAGGGTGGTCCTGCTGATCTTTGGGAAGCCTCCCAGTTTTCCGTTCTGCACAGGGGCTGTCCTGATCCTCCCTAGGAAGACGGAGGGAGTGTGAAAAGACGAAGGGAACAGTAGCAGGTGGTGTCTTGTGGAACACTGCTTCCCCCGCCCCCTGAAAGATTGCAGACCCCTGTTTCCACTAATGAACATCTCATTTCTTTAAAGATGGGGAAGCCAAGGTAAAAGAGCGGCATCCTGTGCAGGTAGACAGCCATATCACCTGTCTCATCATTAGCTGTGGTGGCGGGGTGGAGCGTTCCCTTCTTTATTCCCATCTTTACACCCACAGTGTACTTGTGTGCAGAATTTGGTCAGCCAGTACGCTCACAGTCTGGTCTTCTGGTTGCTTGGCTCTGCAGATTGTGTATGAGCAGTCAGCTGCTGTGGAATAAATTACCTGGAAATTTAGCAGCTGACAGTACAAACATTTAGTATCTCACAGCTTTTAGGGTCTGGGATTTGAGGAAGGGGCTTAGGGGGTGCTTCTTTTTTTATTTTATTATTTTTTAAATTTTATTATTAATTTCAATGAAAATTTACAGAGCCTTTGGGTTTCCATTCATTCATTGTTGCACTTCTCTCCCCTCCCAACCCTCCCCCCTAGTATACTCCCCTCTTGGAAAAGTAAAAGAAAAAGTCTTCCATTGTTTTACAAACCCTCCCCCAGGCCCATTCCATTATGCAGCCTTTGTTCTGGACTCCTGTCATGACAAAAATACCTAATCACATATCCCTTTTAAATAGTTTTCTCCCTCATCTGTTTCAATGCAGTATATATTACTAAACCCATCCTTCTCAGTCTCCCCCTACCCCGAGGTAAGTCCTGTTTTGCAGCAGTGGCACCATGCAGTATTTGTCCTTTTGTGACTGAGTTACTTCACTCAGCATAATGTCCTCCAGGGTCAGGGGTTGCTTCTGGCTCAGGGTCTTTTATGAGGCTGCAGTGGAATTCGCTGGCGTGACGGTTCTCTGGAGGGTCCCCCAGGGTAGGAGGGAACTCAGGCTCACCTGTGCAGCTGTTGGCAGGTACTGTGTTTCTCAGTGAATCAGCTGCCTCACATCCCAGCATTCAGCCTCCTTCTAAACAAGAGATCTGAGAGAGAGCAGGCAAGTGTATGCGCCCGAGGTTGAAGCTGCAGTCTCGTTTCCTGATCTTAGACATGACTCGTGCCACATCCCGCTGTGAGCAGTGAGCCACTGAGTGAGAAAGATGAAAGTGTTGGCAGGCATGTCTTTGAAACCGCTGCAGATTCTGCATTTCATGCTGCTGAGAAAACACGATGACTTTTTCATTCTAGACGTTTCCCAACCCAGTTAAAAGCAGGCAGAGTAAGTTGAAAGAAACCCCAGGTGCCTGTGACTCGGTTTCAACAATTACAAAAAGAAAAAACACTAAAAGAAATTTATTCACTCGTCTATACTCTTATCCACCTCCTCTCTTCCATTCCAGATGATTTTAAAGCCCACCCTCGGATGTGACGTCATGTCATCTGTGTTCTCTTCTTCTTCTCCATTCTAACATCTTGTCAGAAAGGAGTTGTGATGCCCAAGAAGTTGCAAAAACAGAGAATGCCCTTAGATTCTTCATCCCGCTTCTGTCACGCATAATCTCCTGCGTAATCAAAACCAGGAGGTCACAGTGGTGCAATGCCATTGATGAAACTACAACCGTATTCAGCATTTTCCACTTTAAAGTGTTAAGACCTATCACTTTAAAATGAAGTGTGTGACCATTTGGAGTTTTTATTTTATTTCTCTTTCGTTAATGTGATTTTAGCTCTCAGTAAACAGAATCTCAGAGAGACACAGGATCGAGTGGTTTGAACTGCTTTTCCTAGAAGCAGTGTGTTGACCTGTCATCTCTCTCTCTTCCAGTTGACCACACCAGGGTTGTGCTCCACGACGGTGACCCCAATGAGCCCGTTTCAGATTACATCAATGCCAATATTATAATGGTAAGTTTTCCATTGCAGTCTTTTCTGGCTGTGGATATGGTGAGCCCACATTTCTTATGTGTACCTTCAATCCACCCTTCTGTCCTAAAAGTGATTTCCACATGTTTGAAGGAATTTTTCTCCCCCACTTCTAGCCTGAATTTGAAACCAAGTGCAACACTGCAAAACCCAAGAAGAGTTACATCGCCACCCAGGGCTGCCTGCAGAACACGGTCAACGACTTCTGGCGCATGGTCTTCCAGGAGAACTCCCGTGTGATTGTCATGACCACCAAGGAGGTGGAGCGGGGCAAGGTATGGCGGGCGCACCCAGCGCTGCTTCTCCAGCCACGGGTTTTATTTGTGTTTGTTGTGCTCAGAGTAGAAAGTTTATACAGCGAATTGTTTCTCCATTGAACCATTCTTACACACACTTTGTCTTAGGACATTCATTACGTGTCCACATTGTAACCAAAGCTTCCTGCTTCCTCCCAGAGACTCAAGGCTTGAACTGCAGTTTTGCTGGATGAGACCATAGCAGCCTTTTTGGTCTAGGGGTGTAGTCCGTAGGGAGTCATGCTGTTGACTCAAAGGCAGTGCCATTTCAGTGGTTCAAATCCACCAGCTGCTTCTTGGTAGTAAGATGGGCTGTCTAATCTCTATTTTACCGCCTCTTTAGAACCCACTGGAAGGCCAGCTATGGGTTCATTCTGACTTAACTATACAGTGAGTGGTTTTGAGAACTTCATCCAGTGCCTGTGTATTACAAGTTTTCTCAACTCTGTCTGCAGGGCACATGAGCGATTCCTTGGGCATTGGCTCTTTTTTTGCCCATTTTCCCAGTGTTAAGTCAGTCATTCCTTTCCGTGTGTGCATTTGATCAGGCCTCTCTCTCTTCTCTCTCTCCCTCCTCTGGTTCTCTGTCCTGCCATGACTTCCCTGCATCCTTCCTCAGCTTGGTCTCTGCAACTTAGGGGGTCATGAGGCTTTTGGGGTCCCCCTTTGTGTACATAAGTCTGGAAATTCTCTCTAGATGCTGAGTTAGGCCCAGCCTAGGGCTCACCCCACTGGTTTACCCTCCCCGAGAGCTCCCTGTTCTGAGCTGCACGCCGTCCAGTGCCTGGACACCATTCTCCCACATGTCGTCAGTTGTTTATGGTGGGAACGTTAAAACCGTTCTCTGTTGCTTCACTGTATGCCCCAGCAGAAGCTGAAAAGGGGGTATACAGAGGCACCCCCTAGCACCGAAGGTGGTCACTGTGCTGTTATTTCAAGAAGAGTGATTTAATTGGTTATACAGATAGAATAACCTTTAAGCATTTAAAACAACTAAGTCTCTAAACATTACGTGAAGTACCTTTTTTAAAATTACCAGTTTGATGGGTGTTTCTTCCCCCACCCTGTTTTCTCAGCATTTGGATACCAATATGCATTGGGTAAGGAGCCCTGCTGGCAAATGGTTACATCTTTGACTGCAGATTGAAAGGTTGATGGTTCAAGGCCGTCAGCGGCTCTGTAGGAGAGAAGGCCTGGCAGTCTGCTTCATAAAGAGTGAAAACCAGAAAAGCAAACCTCATTGGCAATGATTATTTCTAACTTATAGCGACCCTACGGGACAGCAGAGGAGAACTGGAGAACTGCCCCTTACAGTTTCCAAGGCTGTAATCTGCCACATCTATCTCAGACGAAGAGAATGGGAAATTTGAACCACCAACCTGTGGTTGGGCAGTCTAGCACTTAACTGCTTCTCCAGCAGAGCCGCCTCCTGTAGAAACAGTTCCCTAGGAAGCACCATCACATGGGATCCTAGGAGGAGGAATCAACTTGATGGCGTACAACAGCCACAAGGCCCTGTATGTACGTGTAATTACGTGTATGTGATATGTGCCGTACACAGATGATGGAGAGAGAGATAGCTCTTCTCTTTAGAGTCAATTTTGCATCTTGTTCTTCACTCCACACCCCTCAGCCAGTACATGTCCTAACTCTCTCTGTTAGCACATATTCCTTTACTGCAGGGTCTGTGCCATTCTTCTGGGCAACTACGCGGCATTCCCAAGTTCCGCTCCCCTCACTCTTCACTGCCACACCCACAGAAAAGCAGCCCAATGCCACTGAAAGTGCATTCCTCTCCCAAATCTCTTTTCTCCAGAGGAGCCTGTCCGTGTGGACTTTTTCCAGCTTGGAAGCCCTGTATGTTTCAGTTCTTTCCTAAACGATGTTCTTCTTTTCTTAAATTTTTTAAAATTTCTATTATTTTGTGTGTGTGTGTGTGTACTGTCAAATCAGATCTGACTGGTACAGGAGGAAATTGTCCCTCCTTCCCCGGCAGAGCATCTGGTGGATTCGAACCGTGCGCCTCTGGGATTGTAGTTGCAGATCCTTGCCACTAGGCCACCAGAACGATGTTCTTCTTGTGACACAGCCTTCATTGGTGTCTGCAGGGATCCCGCGGAATGCCTGCATCATCCCTTTACGTTAAGGCCGGGCCCGGGCAGGTTTTGACGTTTAGCACATGTGTTAAAGCTGTTGGCTGCTAACTGAAAGGGCAGGGGTTCAAACTCGGCAGCTGCTCTGTAGAAGGATGTGGCAGGTGGCCTCTGTAAAGAATTCCTGCCTTGGAATTCCTGGGGGCTGCCCTGTCCTCTCGGGTCACGGTCAATCAGAGCTGACGTGGCAGCAGTGGGTTTGATTTTCATGGCATTTTCACATTATTTGTGAAGAGCAATGTGATTTTTAGACTGCCGGCTGGTACAACTTTAGAACCTTCTTTTCTCTGTTGGTAAAAATATAACAAAACCTTTCAGCCTTTTTCACGTGTGCAAGTCAGTGACATTAATTCCTGGTAGCGTGTTATGCAACTACCACCCCATATGTTTCAATATTTTTTTTTCTCTTTTGAGGCCAGATCTAGATGTGGAATGAAACGTTCCTGCAGCCGCTGTCTGTAGGATCATTAGGTGATTCCGAGCTAGTGGGGAAGTTAAGGTGCGTGCCTCGCTCGTTTCTGCTGGAAGTGGGTGTTCCCTTCTCTTAGCCTGGAAGGGAAAACAGAAACTTCTGTCCTGGTCGATGCCTGGCTCTTGGTAAGGGCCTGCTGATTCTGAGAGAGCTGGGTGCCTAGTGGTGGGGTGTCTCGTGTCATCTCACCTCTGAAATGCCGATCAGCGAGTTCTCCTGTCATCTCAGAGAAATTAATACTGGTTCCTTTCAGAGAAGCTGCCAGAAGCATCTAGAACAGACCACCTTGCCCCATTCTGTTTCTGCCTGTTTCTAGGCTTCCCTTTTGCTTTTGGGGTTGATGGTACGATGGGCTTTTTCCGACAGTGCACAGAAGAGGAGGCCTGTGGATTCCCTTCCGTAGATTAAGTGACGTTTAAGTGTTTTCTCTGTCTTAGCATCATTGAGTTGGAATTGCCTCAGAGTTGACCGTTCTTTGGGTTTCCGAGGGTTTAAATGGCCCGGCAGGTGATTTCCCCACTTCCTGCTCAACAGCCCCTGCTGGATTCGAACTGGCAGAGAGGCACACGCACCCTTTGGTTAACGTCTTTGCTCACTACGGCCTGTGCCACCAGAGCCCTTTGGCTTATGTGTCCGCCGCTACATTTTAGAATTTGTTTGGAAAACTTGGAGTGGCCTCTAGGCAGTCCGCGCCCGCTCGAAGCCAGCTGGAACGTTCTTTCCAGAGTCGTGGTTTGACCTTTTGTCCTCTCTCCGCACTGACCAGCAGGAGCCCTCAGAATCGATTAGCCATTAAGAATGTTTGGTTCAGTGGATATTAGATGTGTTGATTTGGGAGAAATAACAATCCTGTCAAACCCATCAGGAAAGTATTTGGAGCTACGGTGTGCCGGGCGATGGCTGAATTCACAACAATAACAACAACAAATGCGAGCCCACAGAAAGCAAAAACGTGTCACCACGAGCCTGCCCGCTGAGCTGGCCTTCCCGTTTCCTTCTTTCAGTTAAGCACTGAACGGGGGTGCTGTCGCTGCTCTCTCCGATCTCATTTCATAACCAATTCCTCTGTCTTCCAGAGCCTACACAGGAGGTAAGCGCTTCTTGTGACGAGAGTGTTTGTGGGTGTCTGCTCCCCAGGCCTGGGGATGAGGGAAACACTCTCTGCCCAGGACCCGTTGCCAAATGCATACCAGTCCATCTCTCATTTAGTGTCATGCCTGCCTCGTTGGCAGCACGGGTGATCTCCTCGGTGCTGTATTTCTCCATCCGCCTGCTCGTGGAGCCAGCCGCTCCCACAGACGTGGTGTTTCCAGGCACAGTCAGGGGCAGGTGACGTGTGCACTTGGTATCCGATGCATCTGGATATAGAAGAAACAGCTGGTCCAGAGCCCCCCGGGCTGCCTTTCCGTGAGAGGCATTCACACTTGAGTCACTGAGGCACAGGCGCCTCCCACGCCGGCGCAGCAAGGACCAGACAGCCTGCTTCGCAGGGCGCCTCGCCCCCACACCTACAGAACACTTGCTTGACTTCCGTACAAAGCGAGGACAGAGCTCTAGAATTCAGGACCTGGTGGTTGCCAGATAGCACCCACACACTGCTTCTTACCTCGGGAATCTTGACTTCTTTGTTATTGTTTACTGTCAAGTCAGAAGCGACCCGTAGCTGACCCTTTTCCCACAGTGGGTTTTCACAGGTAGTAAAGTGCATGAGAGGAGACTGCCCATCCTTCTCCACAGAGCAGCTGGTGGATTTGAACCATGTGCCTTCGGGATTGCAGCGCAGCTTCTTACCACCATGCCACCTGAGCTCCCTGAAAGAATAAAGGGGAACCAACTCCTTTGGAATGTGACTTGGGTTGGGCCACACAGCAGGAGTGGCTTCGTACCTCCCACCTGTCATCGGCTTCTTCCCAAAGCTGCTTGTCTGACTTGAACTCTTCTTGCTTTGTTTTAATGAGCCCTACTGACCAGGTGGATTAGTGTTAAGCCCTAAACCAAAAAGGCTGGCAGTCTGAGCCCCTGAGCCCCTCGCTGGAGAAAGATGCGACGTGGATTCAGAGCCTGACGAATCCTGCAGGGCAGGTCTGCTCTGTTCTGTAGCATCACTATGAGTCTGAGTTTGTCTTAGTTTTTTTTTTTTTATGGAAAAGTAAAAGAAAAGATTCTTTCATTGTTTTACAAACCCTCCCCCAGGTCCCCTCCACCATGTAGCTCTCGCTCTAGTCTCCTGTGATGACAGAAATACCTAGTTATATATCTCTTTTAAACAGTTCTCTCCCTCCTCTGTTTCAGTGCAGTATACATTATTGAACCCATCTTACTCAGTCTCTCCCCAACAGTGGCATCATGTAATATTTGTCCTTTTGTGACTGGGATATTTCACTCAGCATAATGTTCTCCAGAGTCAACCATTTTGAATAATATTGCATGAGTTCCTTGTTTTTTAATGCAGCATAGTATTCCATTGTGCGAATATACCACAGCTTCTCTAGCCATTCGTTTGTTGATGGGCACTTAGGTTGTTTCCAACTCCTTGCTATTGTGAACAAAGCCTCGATAAACATGGGTGTGCATTGTCTTAGTTTTTTTAAATTGTGATTTGAGTGGAAGTTTGGTTTTGTGTGAAAGCAGACTGGTTTTCCATGAAACCACTCACAACACTGCCTTATCACATTAATTACAATACTCACAGTGTGACCACATTTCTGCTACTTCCTGTCATTGTCGTGTCCATTAGTTCTGTCCTGCTGCTTCCTTTCTGCCTCCTGAAGTTTCCTTTTGGGCAAATGGTGCTCCTTTGACTGTATGTGGTCAGTAATTCTGAGGAATCCGTGCTTTCCTGATCATGCTGGGTTTTTTTTTTCCCTTTTTGGGGTCCACCAATTTTTGGCTGAAAGTTGATTTGCAGGTTGGAGAATGACTTTTGTCCCAGGTTCAGAGGTGACTCAGGGCCACAGATTTGGGGTTCTCTCAGTTCCTGTAGGCCTGACAAGCCTTGACTTACTGGCTTTGAGTTTTGTTTTACCCCACTCTATCCAGTTCTACTGGGGTCACTTTCAGGATGGTTATCAGTGATAGCTGGGCACCATCTAGTTGTTCTGATCTCAGAGTCAAGTAATTTGTGATTCTCCTGGTCCATCAGTCCTCTGAACTAGTTGTTGCTTTCCATCTTTGCTTTTTTTCCTTCCCTCTTCTTTATTCTGGGCACATTTATCAAGCTGACATTCACGTAACATACTCTTGATCATTTTACAGCGAACAGTTCAGTGGCACTTAGTACATTCATGATGTCGTGCAGCCATGACCTCTGTCTAGTTCCGGAACGTTTCCTTCTTCACAGGACACCCTCACCTCCACCTCTGCACCCATTAAGCAGTTTCTCCCCTCCCTGACCCCACGGTGATGACCAATCTCTTTTCTGTAGTCAGCTTTTCACGTAAACGTATGACATTTGGCCGTTTCATATCTGACTTCTTTTCAAAACTTCTTATTGTGAGTTGGGTGGAAGTTGGCTGTGCAGATCGGTTTTCCACACAACCCTGACTGGATTCCCCTCTATGAACCAGTGCTTTTCCCAGTGCTCTTGCCCTGAGCATCGCGTTTCTGAGGCTCATTGTGTTTTCCGTGGTTTAGGCTTTTGTCTCTTGAGTCCCCACCCCAGACAATAACCGCCTCTTGTCTGACCCTTGCAGAGTAAGTGTGTCAAGTACTGGCCTGATGAGTACGCGCTCAAGGAGTACGGGGTCATGCGTGTGAGGAACGTCAAAGAAAGCGCCGCCCACGACTACACACTAAGAGAACTGAAACTCTCGAAGGTTGGACAAGTAAGTATATTGTCATATTTTAGAGACCTGGTTAACCATTTGTTGTCAGCGAGGGTCACGCCAGCGTCATGTCTGCATGCGGCCGTGTGTTCGTTCATTCACGGTGTGGTGCTGAGTTTGTGATTGTTGGCCTGGATGCAGGGGCCGACACGGGACCGAGGATGCCCCCAGATGGCACATTACCTGCTTCTGTACCATTCTTTACGTTTGTTCCAGCTCTTGTCCTGGGTCTCATTTCTCGTGGCCGCGTGGGACAGACTTAGCCAGGGACCTCAGTGACCTCGTACAGGGAGGAGCGCAGCCACATCCCTTCTTCCCAACTGTCCTGTCTGGTGGCCGAGTGGCCCCCGGGCCATTTGTTCACACGAGAACATACAAGAAGTTGTTTCCCGGCATGAGCAGGTCCATGTGCATGTGTCCAAGCAGAGATCTCCACTGTGGCCCAGGCTCTTTGCACCTGCACCTTGCCACCTAAGGGCTCTGCAGTGGACGTTGGTGCAGTGACTCCCTTCAAAACGCCACTGAGCTCACGCTGTCTCCCGCTCTCCAGGTGGACCTCAGAGGTTGAAGGTTTGGGTCCAGACCACTGCAGTCAAATGAGGGTCACGATTCAGATTTGCTGCGCTCTCCCGGGGCTTCTAAAAACCACGCTGACACAAGCACCGGAGGCTCTGAAACATGTGTTAAAGTTGAAACATGTGAAAAGTTGGAGATATTGGGAGGGTGTCCACAAGGTGACACAGAGACAGTGGAGTGACCACGTGGGGAATACAGCACCGGTAGCCTTGCTGCACGTAGGGCGGTCACAGTGTCCAGCTGGTGGGAGTGCACCTCCGCTCGGTGCTGGAAAATGAAGCGCAGTGAGAAGAGGCACGTCTGTCTCGGAAGACGCAGCTGTGAGCGGCGCTGCCGCTGTTTCCTGGGCTCTGGGCAGACCAGCGCCACGACATGCTGGGCCCCTGTCATCTTGCTGCCATCGCGTGCCCTTTGGTAACGCTCACTGTCCCCGCGTGGCTACGGTGTGCTTACGATGGGCTGAGCACTGGCTGCGTGTTTCAGGTGGCCTCCTTTAATGCTCATGCTGGTGCCTCGCAAAAGAGAGTTGTATTCCCATTTTGCAGATGGGGAAGTTGAGGCTTATAAATGTCTGAGGGCCAGAGTGGGTGGGAGTGCTGGGATCTGGGCCAAAAATGGAGGCATGTGATGGCAAAGTCTCTCCTTGTCTCCTTTTGTTGTTGTTGTTGTGTACCATCGAATTGGATTGACTGGCACAGGAGGAGATTGCCCCTCCTTCCCCAGCGGGGCATCTGGTGCATTCAAACCACACGCCTTTGGGATTGCAGTGCAGCTTCTTGTCACTAGGCCACTAGAGCTCCTCTCCTTATCTCCTTTATACTAAGAAGTTTGAGGTATAGGAACGCGCGCGCGCGTGTGTGTGTGTGTGTGTGTGTGTGTGTGTGTTGCGTGTAGGAAGATACAGATGAACAAGCATCTTGAGAGAATATCCTTGTTCTCAGCTGGTGTGAGTCAAAAGGGACATTACCCACTGTAGGTGACTCTGGGTCCTGGTTTCCTGAAGCACACGCTGTTTTAACAGGCGTCCCGGGTGTTGTGACAGAGGCAGAGAGATGGCCCCAGCGCAGCTTAGCCAGCCCTGCGAGGGAACGCAGCGGATGCCTCAGGAGGAAAGGCATCCGTCGCGGGCGAGCCTGCACCTGCCGGCTCTCGGCTCACATAGGAGCTGGGTGATCGTGGCCGGGCAGCTCCTCAACGCCTTGATTTATTTAATTCGGTGCTGGTTTTTCTTGGCTCTACTCCAGGGGAATACGGAGAGAACGGTCTGGCAGTACCACTTTCGGACCTGGCCAGACCACGGCGTGCCCAGCGACCCCGGCGGCGTGCTGGACTTCCTGGAGGAGGTGCACCACAAGCAGGAGAACATCGTGGAGGCCGGGCCCGTGGTGGTCCACTGCAGGTGCCGCGCTGGATGCAGCCTGCCCCGTCCCAGGGCACAAGGCCGCCTCTTACACCCCGGCCCCAGCGCCCGAGCTGTGGGATTTAAAGCCGCACTGCAGAGAGGGACACTGTGACTCCAAAGCCTGGTTCTCGTGGGTCATACAAGGCTGCAGGCCTGGGGAGACGCAGCCCTTAATCACAGACACATACACTTGGCACACTCCAGGGTCCATTCATTTACAAACTTTTGGTTTCTTCTTTAATATCACAACCTGTTTATCCTTTTGATTACGATTTTATTATTTTCAACTATGGACATTAGAGGCTTCCCACCACCACCACTAGTTTACTCCAGGAGCCCCAGATGGTTTGCCCCCTAGGACTTTTGCGGGGAGCTGTGACCATGGGCTGCTGGTGCCTACGTTTGTTTGGGTGTCACGGTTGCAGAACAGAGCTTGGTTTCTTAGATCTTCATTCGCCTGTTGGGCAGGTAGAGATGTGTGGAACTTGATTTGGTCGGTTCTTTTTCTTTCCTTTTTTAAAATTTTAATATTTTTTTTGTGTGTACCGTCAGATCTGACTGGTACAGGAGGAGATTGCCCTTCCTTCTCCGGCAGAGCATCTGGTGAATTTGAACTATGTACCTCTGGCTTTGCAGTGCAGTTTCTTGCCACTAGGTGACCAGAGCTCCCTTCGGTTCTTTTTCTTAAATCACCATCTACCGAGGAGGCCTTGGGTAGTACAGAGAGTTAATGTGCCTGCTTCTGAGTGAACGATTGGAGGTGCCTGGGCAGAAAGGCCTGGTGACTACTGAGAAAAAAAAATTAGTAACTCCTTGTGTCTATACACTTGCAACACTATCGTGTGCTTAAGGAGCCCTGGTGGCGCAGTGGCTGGAGCACCTGGCTCCTAACCAAGGTTGGTGGCTTGGAACTACCAGCTGCCCTGCAAGAGAAAGACATGGCGATTTGCTTCTGTCAAAACTGAGTCACTGAAAGCCTGCAGGCTAGTTCTGTCCTGTCCTGTAGGGTCACCATGCATCACAGTCAACTCGTTGGCCTCGGGAGCTGGTGGACCCTTGTTCTGTGCTCAGTGCTTCTCACCATGGTTCCTGTCCCAGTCTCACAACAGTCCTGTCAGGTGGAAGCCGCCACTCCCATTTCACAGATGAGGAAACTGAGGGTCAGAGATGTCCAGCATGTGGTACTGGAGAGGCTGGGCTCTGTCGGCAGGTCTGGCTGATTCCAGAGCATTCGGTTCTTTGCTAGTATGTTTGCAAATATCAATATGCAATCTTGTAAACACTCCCTAGAGCAGACATTGTTGCTATTGCTGTCAACAGCTGGGTTTTGAGGCGGAAACCTCCAAAACCAGCCTGGTTGTCACTGCTGCTTGTCCTTGTGCCCACAGCGCTGGGATTGGCCGGACAGGGACGTTCATCGTGATCGATATCCTCATTGACATCATCAGAGAAAAAGGTAGGTCCTCTGGAGGCAAGAGGCCACATTCCTGCTTTAAATTTCTGGGAGGAAAGTGCTAGCAAAACCTGGGGAAAAGAATTTGACTGGTAAGAAATTCTGACAAGAATCTAGGCTGAAGACTTGAGCGTTCATTGTGCTTGGCAGAGGACAGAAGTCATGTTATTTGAGGTGTTGGCACCAGGCAGCTGCTGGGAGCCGGGGACTCACTGCTCTGGTCTTTGTTTACTTACACCGTGACAGCCTCTACTCAGCCCCGATCCTCAATCCTCGCTGGGCCTGCAAGAGAGTGGGAGGGGATGCTGCTGGAGGGTCTGGGGAAATCCTGACCTCTGACCTTCATTGTGTTGTTAGAAGTCTAGTGCTGTAGCCCTTAGCCCCTGCTAGAACAGTAGTGATTAAATCCATCTCATCTCTAAGTCAGCTTAACGGTGTGTCTTAAACCCCTTCACCTGTAGGTGTCGACTGCGACATTGATGTCCCCAAAACCATCCAGATGGTGCGGTCCCAGAGGTCAGGGATGGTCCAGACAGAAGCACAGTACCGGTTCATCTACATGGCTGTCCAGCATTATATCGAAACACTACAGCGGAGGATCGAGGAAGAGCAGGTATGAGTGGGGGACACCTGGCTTTGTGCTAAGGCTGCATCTGGAGCCCGGTCACCCTTCCTCACCTGGCACCAAGGCCCTGGCTGACAGACGACTGTCTTTACTTGGGGGTGGGCAGCTAGGTCCCAGCCAGGAGCGGCCTCTCGGGAAACTGTGATTGTTCTCGCCTGCACAGCTCTGCCTTTCAGGTCACAAGCGCTCCGGGAGGGACAGGCACCCGGCTGGACGGCCTGGAGAACCACCATGCATTCAGGGTGTGGTTTCCCCCGGCTCCACAGCAGCTCTAACCGCAGAGCCTCCGGCTCCCCGGCCTCCGCCAGCTCTGATCCGGCCCGTGTTTCCCCCAGTTCCACCTCAGAACACGAACGCCTCACTCTAATAGTGGTTAGACCCGCCACTTTGGGGGAGTTGGAAACAGCCAGATTTCAGTTTTAATAAGGCCTGAACAATGAGCGCTGTGGAATTGGAGCCTTCCCATTTGAAGCTATTCAGACCAGACACAAAGCTGCATTAATTAGAGACTCGTTGAGATGAGGGAAATGAGGGGGGGCTGCTCTTTGGGGGAGTGAGGCTTGCTCCTTCCCCGTGCTGCAGATGGAGCCGTGCGTAAACACCCGTGTTGAAGCTCTCTCCTGTCTGTCCCCTCCCAGACATCTCGCTTCTCAGACTCGTAGGCCATCCTGCTCCAGCGGGACCCGCCCCCCTAAATGAAAGATTTGCAGCCTAGCCGGAGTGCGGCCGCATCACCCAGGGGCCCAGGCTCGCTGCCAGAAACTGATGCCAACTCAGCTGACCCGGCAAGACAAAGTAGAACTGCCCCCCAGGGCTTCTCAGGTCAGGTCAGACCATTCCCAAGCTGCCAGTTCTGAACGCCAGTGCTTCTGGTCTCAGTTTCTGTGCTTGTAAGCGTCACCCAGGGCCTGTGACTTACTCCATTTCTTACCATAGGTTATTTACATTCATCTTTCACTTCTAAATTACCACCCAGAGTCATTTAAGCAAGAGGTGGCCCCAAGAGAAAGAAGGGCTCTCGATACACGTAGAGAGAACGTAGCTGCAAGCTGGGGTATCTGTTCAAGGAATATCTTGAAGCACATACTGTATCCAGAAAAACTGAGGGCAAAGTTGGCTTTATGTCACTTCTGACCACCAATTTTTATTCTTGGGAGAATCTGGGGACTTCCCCTCCCAGCATCTTAGGCCTTCTCATGACCATGTAGTGCAGTTCTTAATGTAACAGGCTACTAACTGAGAGGTCAGCAGTTGGATTCCACCCGCTGCTCCATTGAAGAAAGATGAGCAGTGAAGATTTACCGCCTTGGAAAGCCGGTGGAGGGTGGCTGTGAGTTGGCACCACGGCAGTGGCAGTGCGCTTGGTTGTCACCCCAACTCTGTTCTAGGAACTCTTTTTTTTTTTTTTAAAGAAACAAATATTGCTATCTCTCCTCTCCCATCCCAACAGAAGGCAGAGCATATTCCCAGTCCTTTATGTTGTTACAGAATATAGGGCGTTAAGTGAGCGTCCCTGGTGCCCCCCGCGCCAGGAGCCCTGCCTTCCTTCACTCACCTGGTATTTGTTTGTGCCATCGCATCCCGGCACAGTCTCAGCTATCACGGACTGTCTGGTGTATGAATTTTGACATTATGTGTAGGCCGTTTCTGCCTTACGTTGAATTTGGTCGTAGTGCTTTTGGATCCTGTAGAGGAACTTGCTGCCCAAAGTTCATGTGAACTAAGAGGCGATTTCATATCATAGACTGTCGGGTGGAGGGGTGACACTGCGGTCCTCGGCTAGGAAGGCTGGTCCTGTCTTGAGGGGGAAGAATAGGTTGGCTCCAGGTTGCACAGCGGCAGGGGGCCAGTGAGGAGGCACTTGCTGGAGTGCAGAGAGCAAAGAGGTGGCTCAGGGAGCTCCGGTGGCCTGGTGGCAGGAAGCTGCACTGCAGTCCCAGAGGCGTGCGGTTCGAATCCACCAGATGCTCTGCAGAGTAGGGACAGTCTCTTCTTGTACCAGTGAGATCACAGAATAATTTTTTTTTTAAATGTACAATCCAATGAGTAATTCCCCCTCTTCTCACATCCACATCCCTCCGCTTTTGGCCTCTCCCACCCCCTTACATCCTTATACTCATTCTACAATAATGATTTTTATGCAGTATTTGTCCTTGTGGGACTGAGTTCACTCAGCATAATGCTCTCCAGTCCCTCCCAAGTCAGGTAATAATTTACAAAATCATTGTTCTTGCGCAGGAGTGATTTGATATTTTATTCAACCATCTCTACATACTTTAGGGGAGTCCTGGTGGCCTAGGGGCAAGAAGCTGTGTTGCCATCCCGAAGGCACATGATTCGAATCCACCAGCTGCTCCGAGGGAGAAGGATGGGCAGTCCCCTCCCGTGTGATTAACCGCCTCTGACAACCCTCCGGAGGGTCGGCTGTGTGTCGGTTCCAACTTGACAATACATGACAATAACAACAACATGTACTGTGTTTTATGACGCTGATTACACCCTACATTGCAACAGCACCCCTCCCACGGCCCCCCAGTGATTCTGCTTTCACCCGTCCTTCCCTCCTCCTCCTTCCTGCCTTACGCGCTTTGTTCCTGGGCAGCTGCTGCCTTTGAGATCGTGTGTGATGGACTGTTCTAAGCCTGAGCAGGCCCTCATGTCATTGTTCACCGTCCCTCTCTCATTACCCATTTGTCTCCCTTGGAGAAGCTGGTGGATTCGAACCTGCCCCCCTTCCGGTTGGCAGTGCATCTCTCAGATCTTATGTCTGCCTTAAATGTCTGCCATCTATATCTGTAATTTGACTGAAAGTTGAGCCAAGTCATGGGCGGAGTGGCATTCCTGGATCAGAGAGTGGCGAAGGGCCATAGACCCAGGGTTTCCATCTGCTCCAACCAGGCCAGTAAGCCTGGCCATTTGTGTCACTTTGAGTTTACCTCTACGATTATCTCCCACTTTATCCAGGACACTCTATTGTGACCTTGTTCAGTCCACGCTGGGCGTCTTGTGACTTCAGGTTTAAGGTTGCCGTCACGGTTGCTTCACATGTGAAGGTGGCTAATGGCAGATGTTTTCAGAGCTGTGTGGTGGGTCCCTCCTCAGCCTTGGCTGGCGAGGCCCCTCTGCTTTATCATAACCATTACAGTGGGCTGCGGAACCACGCTGTGTCCTTGAATGCAGCAGAGGGTAGGTCAGTTACAGGTGATTTTCTAGTTCTTGGAGACAGTGCCCACCAAGTCAACCAACAAAAACCAAAATAACCTCCCCTCTGTGAGACATCCGCCGCTGCCATGTTGTCAGACATGCCTGGCTGGTTCGCAACCAAATTTATCCTCATTCTTCCTAAATAAGCGAAAATGCTCTTAAATATTTGAAACCTTTCTTGGTCTCCTTTGATTCCTTGAAATAATACCTGTCTCATTTGTCTTAATTATTCCTGGTTAGAGAATCTGTGTTTTAAAATCACTGCATTGAGAAGGTAAGCAGTTGTTTTGTCAATGCAGGGTTGACACAACTTTATCTGGAAAGATCTAAAGAGCATATTGTAGACTTTGCAGGCTACATACAATCTTTGTTCCTTCTCCTCTCTTTTTTTCCCCTCTCTTCATCCTCCACTTCTCTGCAAATGTTAAAGGCTAGAGTTTTCTTTTTCTTTTCTCTTTAAGTTAATTTTGTTGTTGAGAATATGTACCACATAACACAGCAGTCCAGTAGTTTCTGCATGTACACTTGAGTGACACTGATTGTATCCTTTGTGTTGTACATGGTGCTCATTTCCTTTTCTGAGCTGTTTCCCCTTCAGTGACATAAACCCACTGCCCCTTCAGGCTCCAGCCTCACCTTCCCAGGAGTTGTCAGTTGTTAGACACCTTCTAGATAGTTCTGAAGAGCACACTACTCCAGGAAGGCCTTCCTTACTTGTTAAGCTCAACTCTTGTTTGGTTTTAAGAAGATTGATTGCAGGGGATAGTTTTGGTGCATGGTTTAAAGATGACCTCAAGGCAGTAGTTCCTCCATCCTCCATGGCCCCAGAAAGTCTGGATTCCATGAGAATTTGAAATTCCATTCTACATTTTCCTCCCAAAAATCTGTGCTTTAAGACCATGACTGAGAAGTGGTACTCTACTTCTCCAAATTAAGAGTGAATAATACTATCAGTTTCAAAAGTTTGTGAAGGGCATTAAAATGAGTTAATATATTCAAATAGTGCCCGGCACAAGGTAGGCGCTCAGAAAATGTTAGCCATTTTTGTTATATGATGATTAGTATCATTTGTACAAAAGGATTCACCCATTTTCTTGGGTCACCGGTTTTTTTTTCATGATTGATGGCATTGTAAGCTACCACCCCCGCAGGACTTTAGCACTAGGATTATATTCAAATCCGTGCTCATAATCACCCTTTTACCATGGCTTTTTTCCCTTTTAATTTCGCTTTTCTAGCTAGGTTTCATTTTCTGATTTTTGTTGTTGTTTTAAATCTGTTGTGTTCTGAGTTTATACATGTTTAGACATCTCTGATCCTTGGTTTTCTAGCTGAAGCATGACTTAGTGGGATAGAGGATTCTTGGCCCATTTTACTTTCCCGTGGAATGTTCTGGAATTATGTGGCTGTGTCCGAGTCTCAAGTCAGTTCGATGATACCCCCTCATTTTCTGCTGGGAGGCCTGGATGATGGTTTCTTCACAGTGGGTTTTGAGACCTGGAGCCCACCCACACCCCGAGAACTCCTTCTTTAAGAGATTTTTGCCCTTTCTCTTTCTGGGGGTTGACTTCCTGTCTGAAATCAGAGCTGTCATGCGTCAGCTCTCAGCGCTGCCTCGCTCCCACCCGGCTCACCATGCGATGGCAGAGGTGTGTCTCTGAGAATGTTCCTGTTTTAGGGGAATGAGATTTCCCACTTTTTTTTTAAACTAGCCCTTATTTTGGGGGGGTTTTGGGTAAGAGGAAGAAAAAGAAGCCTTATTGATGGATTTACATTTCTCTCCTGGTTTTGTTTCTCTGGGGCATTTTAAGACAGAGGACTTTAGGGTAGAGCCCTCACGTTTAATACTGTTCAGTACAATTTGGCAAATGTATGTGTAGCCAAAAGAGCCATTTTGGTCATTTACAGACCTGCAAATGATCTTGCTGTTTGCCCAGCGCTCTGTTCTCAACTTTAGTCTGTGTTTAAATACTTCTTTTTGAAAGCTTGAAAAAGAAAACACAGCACTGTAAACCTATGATTAAGAAGCCCTGATGGTGCAACAGGATGTTAACTGAAAGATGGTGTGGTTCCAACCCGTGCAGCAGGCAGCGTGTGGGACAAGGCTAGGGGATTTGTGACCAGAGGTCACAGCTTAGAGAAACCTTATGGGGCAGGGCCACCCCTTCCGTCGTGCTGGGGAAGATGGGCAAGATTTATAGCCCTGGAGAGCCAGCAGAGGTGCACCAGGACTCAGAACCGGGGTGGTGGTGGGGGAATTCGTATTACCACCTAACTGAAGACCCCTGGGCCCTTGCACCAGCAGGAGTGAGGGTGCTCCAAGCAGCTGGCAGTACGTGATACGGTCATTCTTCCCTAGAGTTGCCTTTTCCCGAGCAATCTGTCTGATGAAGGTGATGTTATATAATAGGGATATTGATGGATTCAATTCACAGGGCTGGTTGCGTCTCAGGAAATTCAGGAGCAGAGAAGGCAGATGAAAAGCATCTGACCCAGTGGGGCTCGCTGTGAATCTGTGATGCGATTCTTTTCCCATGGGGGTTTTCGTTGTGTTTTCAGATCTTTCTCAGAGTCTCATTAGAGCCAAAAAGAAAGTTTAAGACCATCTAGAGTCTTTTCCAAGGGGGAAGGGAATTTGACAGAACACACTGGTGTTTCTGGCCAGGGTGCTGCCTGCCCCCTCTCAGACCTGCACACCTTTGCTACTTGTCAGGAATTCATTTCTTCCTGCCTCGTGGACCTGACAGTCACCTCTTTCCCACCTGAAGATCATGAAATCGGTTAACCGACAGACTGTGAAATGATTAGATGCCAGTGGGGCCAAGGAGGTGTGACGACTTCTCTCTTTGCTCAGAAACACGTTCATTGGCTCAGAGACAGTAAACTGTTAATGCATAGTCCTCTCTGACCTGGACGGATCGATCCTACAGTACCTCCCCTCAGATAGTGTATTTACGGTGAGAAGGCGCGTCCCCAGGCATTTAACAACATATCGGTACCTACCTGTCTGGTGGGGTTTTTGGTGAAAATATCTTGTCTGTGTCTTGGTTCTTTGGTAAAAACAACCCAGCTAACCTCCTGTGCTTTCCTGTGTGCTCTTCTCCTTTCAGAAAAGCAAGAGGAAAGGGCATGAGTATACAAACATCAAGTATTCCCTAGCGGACCAGGGTAGTGGTGACCAGAGTCCCCTGCTGCCTTGCACCCCGACGCCGTCCTGTACAGAGTGAGTAGAGACGGAGGACGCGGTTCTTGGTGGACTGGCTCGGATGACAAGTCTGGGCTGCACGTGCGGTTCACTGGTGTGCGTTCTTGTCATCTGGTCAGGGTTTTAGTGACGAGCCGTTTCTCTGGATTGTGCTGGGTTTAGTATCTGAAAGCCACTTTTAACTTTCGGAAACAGAATGGTGATTGCCACACTAGGTGCGCTTACAGGACCGGGGACCCTCTGCCTTCAAGAGGACCGCAGCCATAAAACCCTCCGCGTACTTCTCCACGACAACACACGGGACCCGACGGCACCTAACGACAGCAATAAATAAGTGGTACCTCAGGCGACTCTCCCAGAAGAAGTCGATTTTTCTGCTCATGGAGAATGAAAATGGTTGCTGCAGAGCTAACAGTCCTTTATGATATGTTAAAGACTGTTAAAGAAATAAGGTATTAATTAGCACAGCCCTGAGCTGCCGATTACCCGAGTGTCACCTGAAGGCTACGTGGAACCACAGCCTGAGGGCCACATCCAGATCAGGGCCTGTTCATGGATGTCCCATGAGCTAAAAGACTTTCTGGAAGGTTGTACAGATAACAGCAGAGATGAGCATATTACAAGGGACCATTTCCGCGCCGAGGGGCAGGGAATATTTCTGAGGTGGTCCTTCCAGACCCGGGGTTAAGCAAAAACATGTACTAGGAAGACATCTATTGAGTTGAGTATGGGAGTAGCAACTGATGGCAGTCTTTGCCTGTGTTTTCTCGAGTTACTCTCTAGCATAACCTTTCCTTTTTGACTTCCCCCTAAATCTCTCACATCTGTTTGCTTCCAGTGTGGTTTTTAAACCCCCACGGACTTCAATATTTGGTATAAACTTTTGAGGTCGCACGGCTTCCCTGTTAGCCCTGGAAGGAGATAATGGCCCTGCAGGTTTCTCCCTGTCTGCTGTGGTCTTTCCCAGTGGGCTGGCCAGGAAAGCTGGCATTTGGGAGCTCTCTGGGGCTCATTCTCCATGAAACCAGCAAGGCACGGCTCCTAGCACTCCCCAGGGACTTTTCACCCACACGCGGATGCAGCATCGAGTTCTCAGGACTCTCACGTGGTCACAGAGGCTGTGCCCAACAGGCCCTCGGCTTTGTCATTCCTGCCGTCCCCTCTGGAGGGTGCAGGGCCACAGTGACCAGGGTGCCCCTTGACAGCCTCCACGGCTGCTGACATCCTTGTCCTGCTCCGCCAAAAGGCATGTGGGTTCTTTGACGCCCCGCCCTCCACCCGCAGGCCCTAAACCACAGCTGAGCTTCAGGTTCTGTTCTTCCCCGTTGCCTGAGCTGAAGCTGAACGCACTCACAGCCCCTGCTGGGCTGCCCCTGTGCCATGACATCTCGGCGCTTTTGGATCTCCTGCCTTGATGTTGAGGAGTGCGGTGGCACAGTGGTTAAGCGCTCAGATCCGGAGAGGTGGGCGGTTTGGGTTGGCTTCTGTTCCGCTCTCTGCTGGAGAGGTGCTGAGTGTCGGAACCGCACTCGGGGCAGTGAATACCAAACCTGTGCCCTTGAGGCCTCCCAGCTCTTAGTGACCCTGAGGGATGGAGTGTGGCTCCCCCTCGTTTCCCGGCCCACACACCTTTTACGGAAGCAGACAGCCTCCTCTTTCTCCCAAGGAGCAGCTGGTGGCTTCAAAGCACCAACCTTTTGGTTAGCAGCCAAGTTCTTTGTCCACAGCCCCAGCAGGGCCTCTGGATATCAGTGCCAGTGCTTTCTGTTTGTACCCTCCCTGCATCCTTTTCTGCCTCACTCGCGGGGCCTTCGTTGCTCAGCCTGCCTGCAGGAGAGCTCGCTCTTCCCCTAACCCCAAAGACCACAGGGACTCGAGGCTCTGGTGTGACTTTAGATTTCATAATTATACTGGGCAGTCATTGTCTGTCTTCGATCCCTTTTGGGAACACTGGCTCCTTGGGGCGGGAACTAGTCTGAATTATGCCTGGTCCCAAAGAGCCTTCTAGGATGCACTTGACAAATCTCGCACGCGTTTAAGCAGCCTGGCCTGCCTTTCCATAAGCGTGTCTTGTCTCTTTTCAGAATGAGAGAAGATAATGCTAGAGTCTATGAGAACGTGGGTCTGATGCAGCAGCAGAAGAGTTTCAGATGAGACAGCCTGTTGCAACGTCAGCACCGAAGTAGGTATTTAAATGTTCAATATTCAGTCGGATGCCTGCTTGTTAGATTATGGCTGCTGCTGCTGCTTTTTTTTTTTTTTAAGATAGGTGAATAAACTGGGAGTCTTTTCAGGAAAAAAGCCCACACAACCCAAACCCAGTTCAGTCAGGCTTCTCCTGCAGGGGACTGGATGGTGATTTTCCAGTTAGTATCCAGATCTTTAACCTCGTAACGCCAAGGGGGCTCCTTTTATTAAGTTTTGCAAAACAACTACATATTTCCTCTCCTACTTCTCTTTCCAACGCAGATTTATGTTTGGATTCCTTAAGATCAAAGATAGGATGAATTCACACTTACCTCTGTGGACTGATGAGAGCGAGCAGATAGCACCGTGCGTGCAGTTTTTGTCTGAGCGGGTTAAGGCGGCCAAGTGACAATTTGCGGGTGCTGGGAGGCAGCTGGCCGTGACACTGGTGGAGGGGAGGTGGGACACCCATGGGCTCGGCCCAGCCGGCCTCTGACTGGCCACGTGAGGCAGGACGCTCTGCTGCCTGGTGTCTGACTGCATCCACTCCGCATCCTCTCACTCTTCGAATTTCCTCTCCCTTGCCCAGCTTCTCCTTGTCGACCCCTGTATCAGCCAGGGGCCCATGTGATGTGATGGATGCTTTAAGGATAGGTTCAAAACTCATGGTTTTGTTCTCTGTCCTCGCCATTCTCATTTTCCTGGTCAGACAGTACGTTGAACAGTTTCTCGTGTACTCCCAAACAGTATAATCCTTTGCTGAGCTGTTAAGATTTACCACCCCTGAAATCATTCTCACGTATCTCCTTCCTCCCCAGGAAATGGACTTCCACCCTCTCCCTAAAGAGCTCACGAAGCGATGCCAGAGAGTGTTGATGTGAAGATGAGTTTGAATTTGGGAAGTTTGCGTTGTTTGGTGGTGAGCTGCCTTCTTTGAAGAGCAAAATGTGGACCCCGTTAAGAGACCACAGTCTTCTGAGTCTGCAGCCCCTGATGCCCAGCCCCTCGTTTTTGCAGATAAGAAGACCCTCTCTATGATGGAGACAGTGTTCTATTTTCTAGGATTTTGTTTTAAATCGAGGCAGCAGCTGACTTCTTCTCTCTATTTTGTAAGGGACGATGATTCAAAGCCTGGTTACCAAGCGCTGGTTCCTTCCCTTCTTCTGTCCTTAGCAAGCGTCATTATTACTACTCTTATCATTATTATTTATCCCCGTCTGGAGATGGCAGGGCACTTGGAAGAAGAGAAACGAGGTGGGACAGTTAAGTAACAGCGGGAACAATTGCGTTTGCCATCACTTCTCCATGGTGGATAAATCCACGTGATGGCCCCTCTCTTTAGGCTACATTTTATTGAGCCAGTGCCCCCAGACGTGACCGTCTCCTTCTGCATTACCATTGGGAAAATCATGCCTGCACGTCCATAAGGTTAAGAGGTGTTTTTCTTCTCCGCAGACGACCAACTACTGTTCAGCTTGTTGACCGAGAGGTTGTGGTAGGGCAACGTGACCATATTTCCTCTGCATTAACTGTCTTCTGTGTCACCTTTGGATGACCAGTGTTTGGTTTGTCAGTTGTTGTTGACAAACTAGCCCGAAGCATGAGGCTTGAAACTCCTCCTTCCCCCTGACTCCCCCTTGTTCTTCCTGGGCTGGGTTCTGTCAGGCGGTTCCTTTGCCAGTCTGGCTGGTGGCCCTCCTGTAAGCGGCAGGCCGGCTGGGACGCTGGGGCAGGGGTGCTTCTTTCACTTTCTGCACCCCGTCCTCAGAGTCTCCCCCTCCTCTGCTGAGTGGCTTTTACAGGACAGCTCAGAGCTCCCGAGAGCACAAAAGTAGAAGTGGCCAGGAGCCTTCTTAAGAACGTGGGCTCGGACCCATCCCCACTTCACTTCTATGGCTAAGCCCAACCCAGGTGCAAGGGCACCCCACAAGGGAGGTGTGGTCCAGTGGCACCCCAGTATCGTGGACCATCACCAGTGCTGTGGAAAAACAACAGGTAGCTAGAGTGGGAGCCAGGGGTGATGCTGGGAAATGGGCTCTTCCAGTAGCTGGGGTAAGCAGCGAGTCAGTCTGGGAAGTAGTGGGCCTTTACGAAGCTTCCAGAACCCGCTGTGCCAGCTGTGGCCTGAGTCACGCGGGGAACCTGTTTCCTAAGGGTGGGTGTGTTCTGGGGGACAGAGCATTAGAAGCAAGGACCACCCATCACCACGGGCCTGCAGAACAGGCAGATGTAACAGCCCAGGGTCCAGGCAGACTGGTCAAGGAGAACTCCCCTGCGAGCATCTCCCCCGTATAATCAGCAGCGGCCCTTCTTTTTAACCAAGCAGTACTATTTCCTAATGTGCGACCTTAAGTGCCTTTTCCAAAGACATCCCTCTCTGCCCTGCGTGTTGAATCATGGCTCTGTAGTGTATTTCCATTAAGGTATCACTGATTGTCTTTGAAAAGATAAGACACTGCTAGAGCAGCTTTGCCGCTAGGTTTTATTACTGTCTCCGCCTCCGGTTCTGGACGGACTGGGGGGGCCCGGGAAGAGCCTGGGCCCTGCTACCTGCTCTTCTCGGGGTCTTTAGCTCCCCTGGAACCCTGCCCTTTCCACCTACAAAGAAATGCTCTTCCTCTTTCACCTTGAACTTGGAGTTGCTTCAGAGCACACGAGTGGCCTGATCTGGGGACTATGAGTGACTGCTGTCTTCTGGTCCATCTCAGAAAGAGACAGCTTGTAATTCACCCTCTGACGTCTTTGCTCTTTCTACTACACCGTCAGCCTGGACGGTCCTCGGCTTTGCCTCCGTGGAGGCGATGCCATGTTTTGGCTCTGGACTTGGGGGAACAGGCTCTTTCACCAGCATACAAGGGCTTGCTTGTTCCAAGACATCTGTGGCGTTCGCCTCTCTTGTCTGCAGCTTAAGATCCGTCCCTGTTGCACTTGGAGCTGAAATGCCTGGTCCTGGCCAGCTGTACTGGTTACAAGACATTGATTTAATTGAATTCCCCTCCACTGAGGAAGCAAACGGTCATGTTGGGATGTAAACTTCTGCCAAGACAAGCGTTCTGACGGCCCCTCGAGTGCTGGCTAAGGTGTATGCTGAGTGGGTCTGCGACATGGCAGGACTGTTTTCTCCAGGGAGATCCCATGGGATGGGGTCAGCTGTGAAGGTGAGAGGAGCTCCAGGGAAGGGTTTGAAGACAGTGGAAAAGGAAGTTGCTGGGAGAGGATTTAGGAGGAAGGAGTAGGGCCCCAGGCCAGACAGTCAGTAGCAGGTGGGTCAGGCCACCTGGCAGACAGGTGTGGCAGACACTTTCAGTCCGCATCCCATCCTTCGAAGAGTGACTCCGGGTTGCTGGCAGACTTTAAAGTTGCCCAGTGGTCAGGAGCTGGCTGAGAAATGATCTGACCAAGGCTGTTGGTATGTACCTTCAAGTCAGGACCGACTCTCTAGCTGAGCCTCCAGCAGGCTTTCAGAGACAATAAATTGCCACTCTTTCTCCCTCGGAATAGCTGGTGGATATTAGTGTTAAAAAAACCTTAAAAGCCAAATTTAAATATATTCATGGCTTTTTTTAAAAAAAAATAATTAAAAAAGGAAAGGACACCACATGACCAGCGTGTGGCTGTCTGGAAGGTCACGGCCACGTGTCTCCGCTGTGGAAGGCAGTGACCTTCAGATGGGGCGCATGGAGACTGAGAAGCCGCAAGTGAGCATCATGGCGTCTTCACAGTCTTTGCCGAGGCTCCTCGCCTCAACGCAGCCAAGAAAATCATCATGGTTCTTTTTAGGGGGTATTTTACTCTGGGGGTTTTCGAATTAATTTGAACATCCTGGGAGTTTTCTGATTCAGGGGACTATGGAAAGGGGGTGGGTCTGCGAAGGGTTTTGTTATAGATGATGAATTTTTCCGGGAAATGCCAGACTGTAGACCGAAGCCCAGCCCTGGTACCATATTTGGTTTTTGTATGTTGTCGGGGGGACAAGTCTTTTCCTCTAGCGAGCACACAGTCACCCCGATTCCCACGGACCTTGACCAGAACTGTGTTAGCCCTTGATTTTGTGGAAACCTCTCCCCTTCCTCTTTCTCTTGAAAAGGAAACTCAGAAGAGTTGATTGTATCTCAACACTTTGTGCGTTGTTTTTTCACTCCAGGCAGTTCATACAAGATAAAGACTATTAAACAACAGTTGGTTTTAGTGTGTTGTATAACTTTGCTCTATATCAAAAACTAATTTCTACAAGTTTTCATCTTAAACCTCAAACCATGTAATGAATCATGTTGCCTGTTATTTATGACCTAATGGTGATACTTTTATTAATAAAAGCTAATGAAAAAAAAAAAAAGAAGGATCCTTCATTAAGCTGATGACTGGGCCCACATTTGGTTTTTCTGCAGTGTATGAAGAAGTATTGTACCAGAGTATTAAAAGATATGTAATATTTTATTGATAAATCTATCCTTTAAAAGGAATACATTTTAGGATGTCATCATTTTGATGTGAATCATGTAAATGTTGATAATATGCACTGTTTATTACACATTTAGTATTTCCAGAGAGTCACCTATTTGCCCTTCTGCCCACGTCTCTTATGTAGTCTATCTGCCATTGTTTTCGGGGTTGGGGGGAAATGAAATGAAAAGAATAGTTTATGTAGAGAAACATTAGTCGTTCCTTGCCTCCTCACCTGTGTCTGTGGGTGTTAACCCAGCTGCTTTGCTAGTTGCAAAGCCCCATCACCAGAATAAATTGTACTTGTAAAACTGTATGGGAACTAAACTTTAGGAATAAAACCATTTTCTTATATTCTGGTATCCTTCATTTACTGTATCAGAAATGTGTAGCTGAACGTGGGACTATGGGGACCTCAGCAGCCTCTTATGCTGGTATCACACTGACCTTCCACAGCTCTTAGCCGGTGAACTGGGATGTTGGCTCAGTGAATCAGGTGCTTAGACACTGGGGGACTGGCTATTCGGTGAATCGCTTCGGCGACGGAATAGGAAAA